CCCCCCCATAAAATCCTTCACTATTTTCAAATACACTACTGAAAGGGCAGTAAAAATTACTACTAGTTCATGCCTGGGTCAATCTTCATAGGTAGCACTCCTTACTGAAGGATACAATACTGTATAGGGAGCACAGTATTTTGGAAACAAGATGACAGGAAATTAATTTTCATCACCAGCTTCCTGTAACTGTATTTTTCAGACTGACTTCAGGTAACCCATAATGCAGTTGCCCGATATCATCTCGTAAGGTTTCAGCCTCTAATTCAAAATATTAACTACAAGCTCAGCATCACAATGGACAAGTGTATTTTACTGAACAGAGAACTGAGTTTTATTACAGCTGAGGTTCCAAATTCAATTTGCTTTTGTAGCTCAAGACAGCCACCAATTTTAAATTAGTATGAATAGTTCACAAGGGAAGTACTGTTTTATTTGCTGAATAAATCAAATGTAAATTTATACCCTCAATGTACTGGCTTAAGACTTCAGATAGAATTGTGAATTAATCAAAATGCTATGATTCAAATCCGATCTCTTTTTTCAGGGAGAAGAGACTGGGACTGGTCATTCTTCTGTTACTTCTACGTACTTTGCTGGTGTAAAGACTACATAAATCTAATAATTACTGAGTGAAAAAGTGGGCAAGTTGTCTTTGGAAAGTTTGAAATTGGACCTGCCTGCTTTCTGTGAAAAGATGGGAAAGAATTTTTAATAACTATTAGTGCACTGCCTTTTTAATTTCAGCAATAAGCATTCAGGATTCTTCTGCATACGAGACTATTATGAAACTTTACCAAAAGCATATACAGTAGGCATTAGGAAAACCAATTTGCATACCCATCGGGATAAACTACAGGCACTGTTAGTCTGTCCAACAGCGATTTCCCAACTGCTTCAATTTCATCAAATTGCTCCATTTCATTAAAAGCTTCAGGCTGCTCTGGACATTCTTGCAAAATCTGTTAAAAAAAAAGGAAACGCAGAATAAAGTAGACGAGGGATTAGCATGTAGTTTTTTAAGTGCCATTAACTGGCAGAGTGAATGCTCTTTCAGCATCTTCACTGCAACATTTATATGAAATCAATTGAAACATTCCTATAATTCAAGAAAGGAAAATATTGATTAAGCTACATTCTTCTCAGTTCAGGGCTATCATTAAAACCAGAACGTTTTACATTACTTCTAAGAGGGAACAAAAAAGAAAAAATAGTCTTGCCAGACAATATTCCAGCCACAAATATAAAATCCATAAATATAGCAGCCTGCATCAAGACAGTCATACAAAATGGAAGAAACCATTATCCCTCTGTATTCAGTGTTGGCGTGGCCTCACCTTGAATACTGTGTACAGTTCTGGGCCTCACAATTTAAGGATATGAAGGTCCTTAAATGTGTCCAGAGGAGGTCAGCAAAGCTGGTGAAAGGGCTGGAAGGCATGTGCTATGAGGAGTGGCTGAGGACTTTGGGCTTGTCTAGTTTGGAGAAAAGGCTGAGGGTCAACCTCATTGTGCTCTACAGCTTCCTAAGGAGGGGGAGTGATAGGACGCATAGGAACGATTCAAAGCTCTGTCAGGGGAGGTTTAGATTAGATATTAGGAAGCATTTATTTACTGAGAGGGTGATCAAACACTGGAACAGGCTAGTGCTAGAAGAATTATGTTTTTGAACAAGAGCATTACTTGTTGTAGTATATATCAGCTATCCAGTTACTCTTTTTAAACTTACGATTGCCTAAAAACATCGCAATTAACTGCTGCAATAATGAAAGAATGCTCATAGTACGGACTGAGACAACCCTTTTAAGAGTTTATGAACCACTGAATTCCAATTTGGTATCAGGTAAAACTTTTTTCAGCCATCTCTGGCAGCACAGATGATATCCTTCTGCTTTTGTGAACCTCCAGCAACTCTCAATGCCTACAAATTCAAAGTATCTTCCGTTAATACAAACAAGAAATGAATAAAAGCATGGAGCACATGAATCAACTTTGCATCCATGCTCTTCCTCAATGACAGAATTAATTTGTTTTCCTTTACCATGTGCAAGGGTGGCATTTTTTGCAGTTATATGCAATTTTATTGTCAATATTAGAGATACATAGTCTAAATTGCTTTTCTAAAATGTGTCACTTCACAGAAAGAATGGTTCCTGGACAAAAAGGCCCTACCTCTCATGATCTGCATTAACTGACATTGTCTCAAATTCAGGCATTTGAAAACTCAACATTCCCCTGCTTCAGCAAGCTGTTACTGAACAGCAGCTATCCCTCGTAACATAGATGCTGACTGCTCATCCTCCTCTGTGGCTTCTAGCATCACCCAATTGGCACAGTGGTGAGACACTTTGTTACAAGAGTTTGAAAACCATACCAAAGCAGAGGGGTGTTTTGAAGAAAGCATGTCCAAAACCCTCCAAGTGCAAAATACAACATGCAGCAACACAGCATGCATGGAAACTAAACTGGTGACAGTTTCATTCATTTACGCAGTTTGTGAGAATAGTGTCACATTCAAAATGCACACAGCTTAAAAGGCAATACTGCTTTTAACTCTCCAAAGATCTTAAATGACCCCATAGCTTTGTATTATACCTTGCACAAAAAACACAAATCAAGAAGTGTTCCTTGCCTTTAAGATTTACAGTCCAAAACACACAAAGAAATGCTTTACTATCAACATCAGAGTTCCCCTCTGAAGAGTTAAAAAAAATTCTTCCCAGCCCCAACTCAATGCACCTGAACTTCAGGGCTGTTCTCCTTTTGTTAAGCAGGCCCTATACTAATATAGGTATGCGAGAAATAATTGCATTAAGTATCAAAATTAACAATTAGAAAGATATGCTTAAATTATTTTCTGCCTTTTTTTTTTTAAATATTTAGAAAGGAAAAAATACACACGGAAAAATACATACAATTTTTCTTACATTTTGTTTGCTTAAATGCTGATAAGAATTTTTTCTTCTTAAAAACACAACACTCACCTTTTCAGCACTTGAATGAAATGCAACAGCTGTTTCCAGCCGGTGCACTCTTTCTTCAGAAGTTACTGTAAACTGTTTCCACACTCTGTTCAGTCTTGGAAGCGTGTCCCCTGAGGACCTTGAAGTGCATCGCAGGGACTGGCACAGGACAACAGTTGCCTGCAGTAACTGTCTCCCATAATCATATGTACTCTAAAAGTTGGAGGGGATGGGAAAGAAAGTACATGTAAAAACTCTGCATTTAACTTAGGAGCTAATTAGCATCTTAAAACAACAGCAGACAAGTTTATGAAACCCCCTCACTTTAGGTCCACAAAGGATATTGAACTAATCTGGTCTACTAGAAAACGCTGCTGAAGGAGGAATAAAATTGTAATGACCAAACAGTGGTTTTGCTCTTTAAAAAAAAATTTAAAAAAATAAGCCTGTTGTCTAGTATTCACACCAGCAAAGGAACAGAGCTTCCTGAAAATACCAAATAGCTGCTTGGATCCTACATGGAATACTTGATACCTACTGACAAGATGACTGTCTCACTGACTTCACTGTCACCATGTTTGTGGTCGCCCGGTATCCAGGTGCATTGTGGCACATAATTTTAACAGCAAGCTACCCTCCTGTCATTGTCAGTTCTAATTCATCAAAAGAGAAAATCAGTTCCAGTGTAACAGGTGCAATTTGAAAATACCACATCTGTTAATTGGCAAGTTTGAATTAGACATTCCTAAAAGCAGTATACATCTGAAAAAGCACCTGAAAAAGGCCCAGCTTGTACACTTTCTATTCTTAATTCAAATTTTTTCACAGGTACGTGGCATCTGTTTGCATATTCAAGATTAGCAAACAGGTGTGCAAACATGCCCTATGGCTTCAGTGAATTTCAGCAGACGCTTGTACAGCAGGATTCATTAGTTGGCTGCTACAGTCAGGAATTAAAGCTGTCAGTTCTGTTCAGCCACTAACTCTGATAGTGCCAAAACTCCTTGTACAAGCAGGACCATCATACACCAACAATCAACTCTTATCTGGAAAACCAACAGAAAGACAGGCTCTGTTTCATGAAGTACAGCACAAAATAGACTGAAACCAAGTGGCTCATCCATATTTCAGTATTTTGATTGCAGTCCTTCAAAAGTCTGTTTGAAATATATGCCTTTTGAAGAAAGCCAATGTGAACTTTATGTTTTTGTGGTTTGCATTGCCTATGTGAAGCAGAATAAAATAAGGTAGTAAACTGCAGTGTTGCTATTGTTGATGCAACTTCAAAATCTCATTAGGCTCATCACCGATTCCAGCAATCACAATTTCTTCATTCAAGCATTGAAGCAAACCATTAAGAATAGTAACAGCTGTTCCTCGATTGTCCATACATGTACCAATTCTATTTAGAAGATCTTCTGAAACTGTACAAAACCCATATTGCTAAAAAAGTAATTCATTTCACCTGTGCAACATCAACAAATTTTCGATGTTTCTCCAGTAAAACTTTTGTTTCTTGAGCATCATCTCCCAATCGGATGTGTGTCTTCAGCAGAGCATCCAACAGTTCGCTTAACCATTCTACTGCCTTAAAACCAGAAGTTAAAAGAATAAAAACTAGTAAATTAAAAAGAAATTAATCCAGAAGGCTGAAGTAACTTCAGTCATAGCATGTACTTTTGATGTGGAAAAAAGTTAAGAGATATCAAACTGATAGATCATGCATGCAGTCACCAAATACACTATTTTCAGTCATTGCTATATCCTTTTTCACTGTACAAGTTCACTAAACAAAACTACATTTGAAAGTGACAAAAATAATACTGTACAACTATCAATCCCCATAAGATTAGCCAGTGGACTACAAAGACCAGAACGATGAAATTCTATGGACATTTCCATACCTGAGCAGCATCCTCTTCACATTTAAATAACTGTACCATCTGAAGCATCTTCAGGCGCCGCACATCCACCATATCCTCACACCTTAAACAGTAGCACAGACATACTTACCAACACATGCATAGCGGACACAATACGCTCCGAGTTCTACAGCAGTGTTTTCAGTGAGCAACATTAAGATGCAAGTGTTCATTAAAAAGGTGATTAAAGCATTTTTGTGCTGCTAAGCTTGGCCAAAATATGTAATCCCTTGCATAACAATAAGAAACATGCAGTAAATAGAGCTGAGAACTACAACCCACCAAAATCATGATCCTTAAGACTCCCAATGTAGCTACACTATAGATAGTGATACCAGCAGTAGCTACAAGGCCTTCCAGCTGCATTGCAGGTTCCTTACCTTGTTGCACTGGTAAGATTTGGAGGACACACAGAGGTTTAATTGGCTACGACAGACTTTCTCCCGCTCAAGTCTAGGTGAAAGCTGGCTTAAACCTGGCATAATTCTGAATTGTACTGTGAGCTGGTGGCAAAGTTTTCTTGGTGAATAGAATAAGGACTGTTTAAAAGATGTAATACATCTTTCCATTTTTCTTTTTAGCTAACTATAGATGGTAATAATTGAACCCTTATATGATGTCCTTTGTTATAACTTGTCAGGAAGCATTTCAAAATCTAATTCATATAAAAACTAATTCTAATTCTCTTGTTCTGAATTAAGCACCTTTTGCAGTTCTTTCTCTAGTCAGAATAAAAAAAAAAAGTTATTGAAAGTTCTTTTCTTTCCACAGTGAGAGCTAAGCTAGTATATTTAGGAGAATGACCTTTCCACTTCAATTTCAGAGCCTACGAAGTAGACAGGAAGATTCAGACTCCTGTCCAATGGAAATCGAATTACTAATGTCAACAACAGTTAGCACAATAAGTGAATGCAGAAGATGGTATGCCCAAATGTGTTTTTTCAAACTGGTTGCAAACATAAGCACTTCCAAAGAACAGTTCGTTAGTATGCTGTGTTTTGTTACATGTCCTGTAGTGCTGTGATGCTTACAGAAAGGAAATTTGTTGCTCTAATAATGGAGGAAAACAGTTCCAAAAGCATAAACTAAAGCAGCAACATGCCCCTAGAAATAATCATTATGCTACATTTGTATATAAATGAGAAACATTCAACATAACTGGGGGGCGAGGGGGTGGGGTGAAAAAATTGCTTATTAAATGCTATTGAGATAGCAGTTCTTATCATACTTTTTTGTCTCTTGTCCAGGCTGATGAACCTTGTTTAATCATTCATCATTTGGAAGCTGCTTCATATATTTGTCTGAACATTTTATTGACTTTTCGATCCTCTGACTTCCCTCAACTCTATATCCCTTCTGAGACTAGGGACCAGAATTGCGCAACACTTAAAACACAAATGGACTACAAATCTATACAGCAACACAATGACATTTTCCTTTTAGCCTCCTATTCCTTCCTAATAATCTGTAGCATTCTACTTGCTTCTCACAGTATGACTGAACATTAAAGCAATTTTTGCAAAAGTTTTCCAACGTTTATCTTTGAGTTAACAGCTGGTTCAGACTCCATTTCTATGTATAGAAAGCTTTTCCTTCTCCTGTGTGCATTTCTCTTCTCAGTACTGAATTCCAACTGCCATTTTATTGCAGTGACACATGGTCCTCTATAGCTCTTTGCAGTTGGCCCTCTAAACACAAATGCTGCTTAAGTAAATAGGATTCAGAGGACATACTTCAAACAATACCTTCTCTAAGTGTTATCAAAACACATGGTTTCTTACACTAAGGTCCCCTCTAAGTGTTATCAAAACACATGGTTTCTTACACTAAGGTCCCCTCTAAGTGTTATCAAAACACATGGTTTCTTACACTAAGGTCCCCTCTAAGTGTTATCAAAACACATGGTTTCTTACACTAAGGTCCCCAAGAAAAGGTGGCAGAATTAATTTCTAAAATGAGCATCTTGATGCTCATTAGACCTTGCTGTTCCCTAGAGGCACCTCTTTGTTCAGCCATTTGCCCTCAAAGTTCAGGCACTTTCTATGGAGAGTACTTTATTGTCTCAGGTGTTCCAGCAGTAATAATGAGCAACATCATTTGATTTTTCTACTCAACAGTGTGAAAGAAAGGCAGTACTAAAGCCAATCCAGTACTATTACATCTAAGAAAAAAAAGCCAATGAAAGGCTTGGAAGAAGAGGATGATGGCAAAATCCATCCTTCTTGCAAATTCAACTCTACCCAGCATTTTTCCCTATGACGACTTCATTCCCCACCCTATCTTCTTCCAAAAGTCACAAAAACCCCCACATTTTGAAAACTGAACTCTGTGCCTCCATTTTATACCCTGTTCCCCTGACACCAGCTCATCTTTCTTCCTATCTTCAGGAGTGAAAATGTCACACTGAAAGGGTAGAGGCTGTGAAAAAGAAGAGGATAGACAAGTCTGTACATAATTAATACATAATTTTAGAGCCATCATCACTATTATAGTCTTAGCATACCTTCCATCTCAACTGCTAACGTAGATAAGATGCCTTTTGCATTCATTCCGTAACTCCATATAAAAGGAATGTATAATTCTTGAGCATTTACAAGTACAGGAAAGCACTCAAATACTCCATTCAGTACCAAAATATAAAAGGTGTTTGGATTTAGGAATATGCTACAACAGGTTAGGTGGGGAAGCTTCTGTCCCATTTAAGTATACCACAAGTAAGTTACAGTTGTACTACATCCCTTAACTGAAGATAAAGCAAAATGGTCTCTTTACAAATATAAACTGACCTATCAGCACATAAAAATCTTAATGCCTAGAACTGTGACTACCTTTGTTTTCTAAGCTGCATATCTTCCATCACTCCTTGGATATGGTCCACATTTTCCTTGTTTTCAATGGTCACATCTTTTCCATAGGCCCAGGATGCCTGATTAGATATCTGATCAAGAAGACTTTGACCTTTCTCACGCAAGCCTTGCAAGCCTAAGTCTAAAGAAGAAAAAAGAAAGAAAAAGTCAATGGTCGCACTTATAAATATTTCCTGCCCTCCACTACCAAAGGAGAGATGTGAAATGCAACAGAATCTGAGATGGAAGGCTAGAAAGTGAAAAGGACATTACTATCTGTCTTCCACTACCCTTTCCAACTTTTAAGTTTGAGTGAACATTGGTCTATATTAACAAAGAGCTACGGCTTTCCTATTTTATGACCTAACAGATAAGAAGGAATAAAAGCTGACAGTGAGTATTAACTTTTCAGCATATAAATAGCTAATTAATGTCTTCCATCCACGCAGTTGCGCAATACCTAAAATATTTATCGCTACTAAGCAGTTGTAGCCTAGGTATTCTTCCCTGGCTGGCAGAAGTTACTAGTTTATAATACATCCGATATGGCCGATACATTTTTCTATACTGAAATACGTCAACCCATAGAATCTGCTGTTACATATATTATTTGGCAGCTCTACTATCCGTTTTCTTAAAGGAATATCTAGCATATGCACCAAACATATTCCAATCATAACTACTTCTACAATATATGGGTTTGCTTCAAAGCTCTTTTTCGTACAACCTATTGGACTAGATGATCATCATAGGTCCCTTCCAACTGAAGTATTCTATTCTATACGCCTGACAGTGTAACAACTTTAAATGTGCCATTTATTAACATATACATTCAAAGCTACTGCAAATTACTCTGTACAAGCATTCTAAAACTGAGTGGATAAGAATCATCAAAGGGTCAGTTCTGGAGACAAAAAGATCATCTAAGTAGCATATTCCCACAATACTAAGGATGGTTAGTGGTGAAAAACAGTTTGTCTACAGATGAAATGTATGACAATGGTATATAACAAATATATATTACATGTAAAACATTTAAAAGAAAACATTTCCAGGTCATTTTCCCAGATAGAACTACTATGAAGTAGATAGCATAAGCAAGTCAAAGGTAGTTAGGTGGAACACTACTTAGCTAGGAATCAGAAGAGATAGATACTACTTTTTCTGCGGTCTTTTTTTTCCCTGTACACACATTCTAATGAACGCATTATCTGAAATGCAGAAATATTCTGCTTACCAACACTCTTCAATTTCTCTTCCAGCAGTTTTAAAGTTTGTTGAATTGATGCTCCATCTGCTGGTGCTACATCTACACACAACATTCCTAGTAAGCCATCCAATTGCTGAGACAACTGAAATGAAAAACAATATTTATATTGATATTTAAAAAAAAGTGTTGAGCTTCACATGGTTGGGTCTGCAATGTTCTTCTAAATGTTTGGAAATCTGTCATTTTAGAAGTTTCTCTTTGCATCTGTAGGAAATGAAAGTCAAGATGAAAGATAAATGACCGATCTACCTATCAAACTCCAAGAGCATACATCCCTAGATTGGAGGCAGGGAGCCAAGATTTTATTATTTCTTTTTAGACACGTACAGGAAAGTAGTAAATGCCAATTTAAAAAAGAAACCATGAAAAGTACACCAAATTGGAGTTAAATTAAGGCATATGCCTCTAATTTAAAAAACAACCAAAATAACAACAACAAAAAAAACCCCAAAACCCAAGACAGGGGAAGAAACAAAAGCAATGTTTTAACTAGTAACCATTTTATTTCAAATGACATTGAAATGTAAGACATATAAAGCATTTCCCTCCTAAAAAGGGGGAAATCCGTCTTCTCAGTGTTTCAATTATAGTAAATTAAGACTTACTGTATTTTCCAAGTAACATTCTATTTCCCCCCCATCCCCCTAAATTTTTTCCAACATATTCAATGTTTATAATACTAATGCAATAATATATTGACAAATGAGCCTGTGAAAAGTTAAAAAGAAACTTACATCCTGGGCAACACTGTGGAATTCAAGTGCTGCTTGTAATAGATTCTGCCTGAATTCCAGCTGACTGGCCTGCCGGTAACACACATCACTCAGCTGTTGCTGCAGTGCTTTCAATTCCACAAGGTCCTCCTCATCCCCTGCATTTAGAAGAGCTGCTATCTGCTGATTAAGCTCAACATAAACAGCAAACCACTCCTACAGACACAAAAAAATTAAGCATTAAAATAACACACCAAACATAATTCTGTTTCTCTTAAAATGGCATACATCTAACTGCAGACTAATCAATAATCATATAAAAAAAGAACTTACTACAGATTACAGTATAATTACAAAATTTCACACAGGAGGAATAAACATTCCTAATTTCAAATCAACTCAAAAAATGTTTAGTATATTTTAATATATGTACTGTAGTACAAAAAAAGGTGCAGAAAGATGGGAAGATTACAAGGCATCACTACTAGCTCCCAGTGCAAACTCCCACTCAAACTATTTTACTGAACCAAGAGAGGAATTCCACCATTTTTAAACAGATTTGTAATACCTACATGTCTACAGTGCTCTACTGAAACAAATGACCTTTTGCCAAGTGGTAAACTATTACAAAAAAGCTGTTCATAAGACTAAGTGTTACTTTCAGTGACATGATTGAAACCAGCAATAATTTTCTTAAAACATTTAGAAAAAATACTGCTATTGACAAAGTGGAAGTAATCTCCATCTTCTGAATAAAACAGAGTATCCATCTACAGAAGCTTCAAAATTATCCTTGTTTCTTATTTAAGGAAAGCTTTATACTACTCAATTCAAAACGTGTAGATTTGTTTTTCGAATGCTTCAATTACTGAATACATACTTAGCAGTCAGTTATGTTGTCATGGTGGTGTATTTGCAAAAGAAAATAGTTCAAATATTTAACAATTCTGAGAGATTTAAAAATGACTTGATACATTAAGATCACATTCACATCTTGCATGATTGAGATGCCTGTAAAGCAAAACATGTTTGCTCAACAGCTTTTATTTTGGCCTACAGTAAAGTGACCTTCAAATGCCCTATGCATTTCTAATGCTATGGAATAGCACCATCTATTGGCCTAAAATATGTGATTTAATTAGTATTCTCATCATGCTCCGATTAGGATGTTTGCAATTTTTTTAATTATGCCTTCAGCTTTTGCACCATTTATTTACAAAGCATGCAAAACAGAGTATAAATATCCATATTATGAAAATCTTTCTTTTTACCCAAAGCTGCCTCTACCACCTACTCACAGGAAGAAATAGAGTACAAAAAGATGTGAGGAGGGAAAAAGTAATGAAAATGTTAAATTAGTAGTCAGCCCAAAATTTAAGAGCCAAATAAGTCTCTCATCTACCACAAAAGGGGCAACTAAGATGACATAATATGGAAACATCTTCCATTGTCACACATGTACTATACATATATAGGTTTCAAACTCAGTTTACACATCGTAACTCTTGTTATTACCTTTAGACACTGAACATACAAATCAAGCTTATATAGTTGACTTGTCACACTCAAATGTGAGAAATCAAACAAAAAATCTAGATTAATAATTTTTAGGTTTTATTTTTAGCATTAAAATAAGTAAAATAATTGCAGTAATTGATTTTGGTCAAGCTATCAGTAAAATTAAGAGACTGGCAAACCGGATATAAAAAGTGTTTTTCTGATCCTTTCCATACAGGAAAGTTAGGCACAGCTGTATGTAACAGCTCAAAACAATGGAGGAAAGGCCAACATTTGCTCAAAAATAATAGCTGTAGTATATTGGTGATGAATAAAGCAGAAAATAGAATCATAGAATCGTCTAGGTTGGAAAAGACCTTTA